CCACACATAATATATCTGAAAACTGCCTAACTTGTGACCAGAATTGAAATATTTCACATATATTAACCCTACAACAAAAGTAATCAAACTCTGTTTGTCCTATCTACCCTGAAGAATGAGTAACAAACATAAATTATATTTTAATCATAACATTATTCCTAGAATGGAAGAAAATTTTTTTTATTTTAGGCTTTGGAAAGAAGGAGCTCTTGTCAAGTGACTCAGAAGAAGCAAGTTTGGAAGGAAGATGTGAAGGTCTACCAGAATTTAAGATTTCATTACGTATGTGAATCCAATCATGTAGATAGCAGATGTGTCTGGGGAATTGGACAGCTTCCTCTGCAGGGCAGCTTAGAAATAAAGAGCTAAGGTATCATGGGAAATGTAGCATCATTCCTCCCTTCAGCCTGATTGAAAGAAGCGACAGAGCAGAGCGTGCTATCCATGTACACAGCTCCATGCCAAGCACTGAAAACCCTGTTTATACATTTTCCAAGATTGTATCTCTCAACAACTGACTCTGTTAGCATCCTGGAACCTGAAAATATCTCATGTAGTCTACTTCACTTTCTCACCTGATACGGGAAAACCCCAAGGTCCAAAAAGATGAAGCAACCCCCTCCAAGATTATCAGTGTTTTCTGTTCCTCCAAGGATGCAACAGGCGGAAGGAAGGAAGGAAGGAGGGAGGGAGGGAGGGAGGGAGGGAGGAAGGAAGGAAGGAAGGAGGGAAGGAAGGAAGGAAGGGAAAAAAGAAAGAAAAAAATCTATGTGACATGAGACAGGGAGACCAGCATGACAAAGTATATTTGGACCTGAATGATTTCCTTCCTTTCCCTCAGCCTCTGTTTCTCCCTTTCTAACACTCACATACTTTGAGAGTCACTGTGAGAATCCAAAGGGAAAAGAAAGTATTAAAACATATTGTCAGCCTGGTTGCTGGTGAGTATCAACAAAACACCTATAATAGGTGTTGTTTTTACACCTGCTAACATTATAATGGTTTATGAAATTATGAAGTCATGAGTCAAAATAACTTTGATGATAATTATTATCTTAGCAGTATTCCCAGCATTTCTTGAGTATATACCTGGATATTTTATTATCTGCTTTAAATGCATTCACTCCCTCAAGTCTCCCAATTCTATACGTTAAAAAGGCCTATAAATGTTTGAGGCCGGGCTGGACCGACAGCCTCCAAAACAATACAGAGAAACCCTGTCTCGTAAAAACAACAAAAAAACACCTACAAATTTGCTTAACCATCAATAAAAGATGCTCTTAGGATGTGAATATAAGCTGATAAGCCCCAAGTTCCTGCTGGTGACCTGGATAGAGATTCACTCATCTGACAGGAAAATGAAAATATGTTATTTTATAAAGTAACATCCTGGAAGTTTCCTCCAAACTCAAAAGTCTGAAAAGCTTCATTTTAAAGGAGGGAATCAATCACCTCACTTAACCAAGTCACACTGTTATAATAAATGTCATGGCTGAATGTGAGGTCACTCAATGTCAGCTTAATTCCCTGCCTTTAACAGGGAGCTATAAGTCAGCCCTGCCATCCTAAGATTGATCTCTGGTTTACACTAAAATTGGTTGGCTTCTCTATTGATTATTTGAGATACAAAAGCTTGAGAATTGGCTGCTTTTTATTTGATGTGTCCCTATATCCATCAGACTTGCTATTTTGATGTAGCTTGACACTTACAAGTCTGACTTCCATAATGGTTAGGGGCATGTCATCTTTTTGAATGCTAGCCAATGACCTTCTATTCCTATTTGGAGCTTTTCTGAGATTTTTACTTATGCATACTGTTAACCAGATTAATTTTATCTTCTCTGCCCCTAGGGATGGGTTAGGAGTTGGAGTGTGCAGGAGAGATATTCTTTAAGAGTGCTCAGACCTCTTGAAAAAAGTTCTATCACCAATAAAAAGGCCTTCGTGTTGTTGCTAACATTAGAAGGCGGGTGCCTTATATTGTGAAATCGGTGAGAATCTCACTTTTCTGGAACTCTGACATCTGAGCCCTCGTGCTGCTGGAAGGATTCCAAGAGCACCATAAAATTAGGGCTGGTCCTGTCTGAACTGAGTCCAGATCATTTCAAAGTGACTCAAGGCAGGGAAATAAATATTGAACCTAGTTAAATGTTGCTTGAGATTATGCTTGGCACTGGGTGTCCAGTCTCTGATTTGCTCTTAGGTTACATGGGTTATTTTTTTTAGCTCAAATGGATATGCCAGGGTGGATTCCTTCAATGGCAGCAATTATTTGCAAGCACAGTTGCATTTCTGACACATTTAGTGAAATGAAATGTAAAGATTTATGAGATGGCATAGGATGGATGAAGGAGACATCCAAGGCCTCAATTCCATACTACTTGGCTCCACCCTGAATCAAATTTAGCTGTCCCCGTTCCTTTCCTCCTCCTCTGCTTGCTTAAGCTAACCTTCCACCCTCCCTTCCTTTCTTTTTTTCCTCCTTCCTTCCTTTCACTTTTCCATTTTGAAGGCAATACCTGTGTGTTCTGAATGCACAGTAGGAAGTAAAACTCCAGAAAAATCTAAGACGTTCCAATGATCTGCAGCCTACCCGACCCCTGCTCTAAGCCACACACACATAACACACTAGGTGTTGCTCTTTAGAACAAATGTTTAAAACGAACAATTGCCCCAGAAGCACACATGAATCATCTACAGATAATTCATGTCCTGCTGATTTCAGCATTTGACCATTTCCTTTAGGGGACTGATGCTGGACCCAGCCTAACCAGTGCCTCAAGATGGAGGCTCTATGTCCTGTGCCTCTCTTCTCCCCAGCAGGAGGAGGGCACCATCACAGAGTAAATAGAAGTGGTAGAAGTTATGAAAATCCCCTAAAAGCTAAACCACTTCTCTTTTTAAAAGTCCTGAAGACTCAACCTAGGAATACTCACAATCCCAGTCTTCTGCAGACCTTGTACCCAAATTAAGGAGGCTTACAACCCTGGGAGATGTGAAAAATCATCGGAGGGTCCATGAGGAACACACTAACCAGTCAGGTAGAGAGTACCTTACCAGGACACACGCTGTTTCCTGGGTTACAGTGATGAAAGCACAGGCTTTTAACAGTTTCTACATTGCAAGGTGGGGGCCCTGATCGACTTTAAAGCACAGGTGTTTTCAACCAGCCCATATCTTGAACACATTGTCATAATAGTGTACAGATTAACTCCCATTAGGAAAAAAAATCAATAGGAAATATCTGTTTCACAAAGCACCAGACTTAGACTGTCTTGCTTAAAGAACTATTTGATCCATTGTAAGTCCAGGAACCACAATTTACATGTGTAAAAGGTTTTATAATTCCCAGGGCACTTCACCCACACACTTTTTATTACTCAGACCTCTCAAGGTGAGTATTATTATCTCTGTTGTGCAGACAGAGAGCCAATTTCCAGGAAGTTTTAAGACAAATCTTATAGCTTGATCTTGGGCCTTCCACTCCCATGATTATCATATATTGTTCACCTTTATCCACAGCTGACTATCACCTCCTCAACCCTTATCACCCACCACCCAGTACTCAACCACCCAGTGTGTCTCTTGTTAGAAACATGATTAGTTCGTGGGCCCTGAAGAAGGCTGAAAGTCAGACGTGGGAAGTATCTAGTTTAAAAATCTAGTTATGACTATGCACCATGCACAGAAGAACCCAAAGGAAAGAAAATGAGTTCAAGAAATTCTGGGAGATTTTTTTCACCCTTCCAGCTTTTAGAAACAAACTTGACCCAAAGGGCAATTTACCTCATGATCTCATTAATATCAAGACCATGGTAACATTATCAATATGTCCCCTGAGATCTCAGGCACAAAATGGTATTTCAAAAAGGTATACAACAATGGAGGTTTTACATCTAAAGACAAATCTGTTCTTTCCTCAAACTCTATGCTCCCATCCATAATAAATTATTTTAGTCTTTGTTATTGTTGCTTTTGTTTTTTGTTGTTGTTGTCTGTTTTTTCAAGTCAGGGTTTCTCTGTGTAACAGACCCTGACTGTCCTGGATCTTACTTTGTAGATCAGGCTGACCTTGAACTCATATCTGCCACCCTCTGCCTCTTAAATGCTGGGATTAAAGGCGTGTGCCACCACCACCTGACCCAACACAAGTTTTAGGAGGGCTCCAATGCCCTCTTTTTGCTTAGTGTGAAAGTCCTGAGCTTCTCAAACCATGTATGCCTGTGAAGTCAGTGATATTGATTTCATCCTCCCCTCCAACTAGAAAGTGAAGAATAGTGATCAATGACTCCTAATAACTAGGTATGGATCATTCACTAGAGAAAGCATGATGTAAGCATGGAGCTGAAAAGATTCTTTAAAAATGCCCCCGTTGCCCTTCCCTAGCCCTTAAGCTCTGGAGCTAGAAAGAAGACATTAAGAATGAGTTACAGCAACCAGTCAAAGCCTCCAAGAGAGCCCAGCTCCTTGACTTTGCAGCAAGGAGGTAATCTCCCTGAAGTGACAGGAGAGACCCTGTACTTGAAGGTATGTTCCAAAATGCCTGTCTGTCTTCACGTTCAGCCCCAAAATAAAGAAGAGTATGCCCTTCAAGGAAAACAAGCCTTCTCATACGCCCTATCAACACAACATAATCACTAAGTGGATTGAGCAGAGAGAGCTCCCTGGCATCAGTCACTGAACAAGTTAACCGGAGCATACCCAATGACGTCTGTAGATCCCAAGATATAATTCCATTAACCTCTGTGAAGAGATCAGCCCAGCATTTGCCAGCAGTGTTTAAAATGCTTAGTTGGTTGGTCTAGGAAGCCACTGGCACTGTTAAGTCTAAAGGTGACCCAAGGAGCACTGCTGACGCCAGGGGTAAGATCCCTGAACTGCTCAAGTCAATCTCCATCAAAACAGAGCCTCTACCTGAAAGTTGATGGCTCTCTATATGGCACATGGCCTCCTTCCTCCACTATGGCATATCTCTAATATATTAGATATGGCTACAGTACCTTGAACTTGAGGCAGGGCTGAGGTGACTACAACAGGAACCTCCTTCCCTGGAAGCTTGACAAATCTCTTCTTACAGAGCCCCTCTTCTCTGAAGGAGCATGGTGAAGCACAGGTGTTGGACATCAGAGTAACACGGCTGAATCCCACCTCTTCCCATCAACCAGGGGATAAGAAGACCCTTAACCTCCCCAAATCCACCTGCTCAACAAACGGGACTAACACAGCCTGCCACACAGCCCACAGGCTGTTTCAATGGTCAAGCGGTATGCTTGGTATGAAGGCTGATGTCTCTCCTTCATGCACATGCTGACTCAATGCATGCCATCTTTTCCTTGTCTCCTGGCTTCTTGTCCCTCTACTCTTTGGAAACCCATTTCAGCTGTCCTGACATATAAATAAGATCCTCAGGCACAATCCACATAGACTTCACGTGATGCCTTTCAGGGTCATGTGTCTTCAATAGAAGGTTGGCAGGCTTCCAGGAAACCTCCAGGTAAAATTGTTTGTCTGCAATCAGGAGAGAAATGGTGCATCATAGAAAGAAAGGAGAAAGTATGGGGGGGGGGGTTCACTCGTAACATGACTGGATTTTAAGAAAAAAAGTACATGTATGAGATATTTTATAGGCAGACTTGAGGAGATATTTTTCTGGGGTTGTGGGTAGTGCTGAAGAGAACTTAGTATTGTCAAATGGAGGCCAGGATGCAAAGTCCTCAGTAGCCCAAAGCAATTGCTGTGTCTCCATCTCTAGCCCTTGGACTCTCTGGCAAAGGATAACCAAGCCAACCTAAGATTGCTCCCTTCTTTGCGCTTTTCATGTGGCCAAGAACATAAGCCATCTGGATATGCCCCAATAAGGCAGTTTTCTGTGATCAGTGCAGCCACACCAATAACCTCTCTGTCCTTCCTCATCTCTCATGCATGTGCGTGTGCTTAGTCATACACACACTCCCTATTTCCAGGTCTGAGAGAAGAACGAATAGGACAAACTCTAAACTTCATACACAGCAATGGTTCCCAACCTGTGGATCTCGACTCCTTTGGGGGGGGGGTCAAAAGGCCTTTTCACAGGGGTTGCCTAAGAGTATTGGAAAACACGGGTATTTACATTAAGATTCATAACAGCAATAAAATTATACTTACGAAGTAGCAACAAAAATAATTTTATGATTGTGGGTCACCACAATATGAGGAACTGTATTAAAGGGTCCCAGCATTAGGAAAGTTGAGAACCACTAATGTAGAGAGTGACACTGGCCAGGTACCTTGACATGTGTCCCAGGGGATAGCAACCAGATGCGTTACCAAGTGTCACATCATGTTCTCTCTGAAAACAATCATCCTTGTATATGTAGATGGGATTTTTTTCTGATCTTTTACCCAGGCCACCTTGTGGCTGGCAACACACCCTTACATCACACACAGAACCAGAAAAGATTTAAGAGAAAGAGGAGCCAGATGCTCCACAGCTATAATAGTATCTTCTGGGATTGTGATGGTTTCCCTGCAGTGATCAGATGCCCTTGTCTACCAACCATCAACCAAGCAGCCTGGCGAGGGCTCAAGTACCCGAGGGAGGGTCTTTCCCTGTAGCAATGAATTCATTGTGGCACCAAGCCCAGCCCATTCCTGAGTATCTCCAGGCATTTAACGAGTGTTGTTCATGATGATGATGATGCAACCCTTTCAGCTTAGACCTGCCAGGGTCCCCAAGGCATGCAATGATCCCCTGGGAAGCATATATTATCTGAAGCTTTCCCTTTTGCTTAATTACATTGTACTAATGTTCTCTTTCCACTGGATTTCTCTCTGCCAACTCCCCCATTCAGTCAGGCTTCACTGTGGGTTGGATTTACATAAAAGACCGGCGCATTATAATTGTGATGATTGATCACCAAAGTTTCCTTGGGTTCAGATTGTTTCCTAATGTGGGTCATTTTTCATCATAAAGAGTCGGCTGATAATGATGTCATTTCCATTGCTTGAATTTCAAGGCAGTGGCCACATATCACAGTGTTTAAATGACTGTCTATAGGGCAGCGAAATCACATCCTTATCAGTTTAAAGCAGTTGTTGCCTTACTCCTGGGGACAAAAATGAGAATGGGAAGCTTCTGAAGCTCATCAAACAAGAGCTTCAGGAATCCAAATCCATATCTGTAGCTGGGAAGCAGGTGGGGGGGCAGCTGGCAAACCTGCTTCTGTGTGAAGCTGTGTGGTAAGTAAGCAACAGATAAAAACCACAAAGTCAGACTTGAAAGGAAATAAGCCTTACTGCTGATCCCTGGATACCTTAGATATCCTCCTCCACAATCGCGGCACTGTGTGATTCCACGGCAAGATTAATGAGGAAGAATTGAAAAGACTCTCGAAGAGCTCTGGACAGACACCCATCTTGCCTGATGAGCCAATAAATATGCCTATGATGGTTTGAATGGAGCTGGGATGTGGCCTTGATTTTGTGTTTGTGAAACATGTATGTGAAATGGGATGATGTTGTATGTGTATTCCCAACACATGGCTGTAGCAGGCTTTCTTTTGGACACCAACCAGCTCCCAAATTATGACATATTAGTTATGAATGTTTGGCCTTATTTTATGCTTGTCCTTCTAGATCTTATAACTTAACCTGTTTCTCTTCATCTATGTTTTGTCTCAGGGCTTTTTACCTTTCTTTCATTCTGTATGCCCTGCTTTGTGTCTGGCTGACTAGCGGCTGCCTAGCTGGCTGGCCCCTTTCTCCTCATTCTCCTTACGTCTCCTGTTTTCAAGCCTAGATTCCTTCTCCTACTTATTGTCTCTGCCCACCAGCCCTGCCTGTCCCTCTACTGTCTAGCTGTTGGCCATTCAGCTTTTTATTAGACGGATCAAATACCCTAGGCAGGCAAGGTAAAACAGCAAACATCTTTACATAATTAAGCAAATGCAGCATAAACAAATGTAACATATCTTTGCCTAATGAAATTAATATTCCACAACACATGACTATGTCATTATAACCCAAGACCTGAAGGTCCAAAGCAGTGTGAATGAATTTGCCTTTAGCACATGCCCTGGAAACCTCTAGGACATTCTGCAGATGTTAAAGTTTGCAGATGTTTCCCAGCCCTGTCTTCCACAGCCTTTATCATTTGGCCCAGCATGTTTCCACCCCACCTTATTTTAAAAAGTGTCTAACTTGGAGAAAAGCTGAAGGAACTGCACAATAGCACCCAAAACCATTTAGCTGTACATGCTCACTTTTATGTTGTGCCATGTATAGTTTGTTTATGCACAGGCATACATGATTTTTATTTAGTCATCTGAGAATCATTTGCCTTGTCTTTATGACATCTTACTCTTATATCCTAAGGACTTTAAGAAGAACAAAAAGCATCGCCCTCATTCCCAGGACACAATGATCATATTCAAGAAAGTTAACATTGATAAAAACACACTGTTCTTTAACACAGTCCTTCTGCCAGTTCTCCAGTTATTGTTTCTGTCATTTCATGTAGAATGTATTATCTGTGTATTTGTACATGTTTCTGTGTGTGTATATGTGTACTTGTTTGTTTCCATATATATATATATACATTCGCATGCACTTTCAGGATCCAATTAAAGATCACTTGTTACATTTACCTGACATGTCACTTAGAACATTTTCATCTACTTTTTGTTCTATGCTATTACTAACTTTGTGTTAGCAGTTTTGATATAAACTCATTTTCCCCAAAGTTCATTTCTTAGTATGGTAGTGGAATATCAAGAGGAGGTAGACCCCCATTGGAAGGATTTGCACTAGAGAAACTAACATAATTTGAGCACCAAAATGACAGGTGAAAGAAAGCATTATTCTAAAAATGGGGTAGGGGATACAATCTGGTATTTAAAAAATAAAAGTGGGAAGGAAATGGAACAGTCGTCTTTACTGAATAACAGCAACTAATAAGCGAGGGGGATTAGAAGTACAAAAGCACTGTTGCATTCCATAGCCCCACAGTAATAACTAGTTCAGGCAAGAAGCGCCTGGTGGGTTGTTGGTGAGAGTGAATACATGTGACATGAAAGCAGACGTGATGGTGTATAGAGGAAAAAGAAAGGAACAAATTAGGAGGTGGGGGATGTAGGGAGGGCAATGAAGGAGGGGAGGAATTAGAGAAAGGTATAATGATACACATCTATAAAACTGCCTTAATGAAATCCATTATTTTATATGCTACTGAAATTTTAAATAATTTGAAATTTTAAATGAAAAAGTATTGTCACCACCCTGTCAATATTGGTATCTCTCTTCTCCCATAGTGAGAACCTAGATCCGAAACACCCCCATGGTTGGAGCTCATCTGTCTAGTCCTACAATACACACTACCGCAACCAACTAAATTAGACTCGAGATATCTTTACAGTTTAAATTTTCTCTTTAAAAATTATCACTGGAGTTCCAGGACAGCCTCCAAAACCACAGAGAAACCCTCCCCCCAAAATTATCAGTATACTTTTTATAATGTGTAGGCTTTTTTTACTCTGTCTTAGTTCTTTTCTGTTTTGTTTTGTTTGGGTCCAGCCTTCATTCTGTTTTTATCCTTGCAAATTTAAACTGTTGGGTTTTTTGTTTGCTTGGTTGGTTTTTGGTTTTGTTTTCTTTTGTGTTATCAACCATCATCAATGTGTAAAACTCAAAGCTAAATAAAAGGTTATACTTAGAATATTCACATTCTCTCTTACTCTTGGCCTTGACTCCCACTGGCTCCTGTTGCTGATCAATTGTACTGGTTTCTGGATCATTTGTCCTGGGTTTCTTTTTGAAGAAAAAAGGAGTAGACTCCATTGCAAATTAATATTTGCTCCTCTTTCATAATCATTGATTGCTGTTGGGGTTCTTTTTCTATTCTTTGGTCTTTAATCTTTGGGGGCCCACCACCCAGCTACCAAATAAATACATGGAAGCCTATTCTTTCTTATACCTGGTTTTAGCTTGATTTGTTTCTAGCCAGCTTTTCTTAACTTAAATATCCCACCCACCTTTGCCTCTGGGCTTTTACCTTTCTCTATTCTACGTGTCTTTCTTCACTTCGTTCTCTGTGGCTGGCTGGGTAGCTGGTTGGCTGGTCCCTGGGGTCCTCCTCTCCTTTTTCATTCCTTGATCTCCTCCTGACAGATTTCTCCTATTTATCCTCTCTGCCTGTCAGCCCTGCCTATCCTTTCTGCTGTCTAGTTATTGGCCATTCAGCTCTTTATTGACCAATCAGGTGTTTTAGACAGGCAAAGTAACCCAGCTTCACAGAGTTTAACAAATGCAACATAAAATAATGCAACACATCTTTCCATCATTAAACAAATGTTCCACAGCATAAACAAATGTAACACATCTTCAACTAATATTCTCCAACAATTGATTTGGGATTTTTGAAGAACATATGAAAAAAAAATCCATAGGATAAATGCACTCCCAGAACTTTACTTCTGATCTCCTACCTGGAGCTAGAAGAATC